TTCTGCAGTGGGCTGAATTGCAACACTCAGAAGAGATGTCTGCCCTCAACCTCAGAGTGGGAACTTATTTGAAATAAGACTCTTTGTAGATGTAAGTATGAGGTCCTCCTAGATGTAGGGTACGTCCTAAGTCCACGGACTGGTGTCCTTAGAAGAGGAGAGGAAGATTTGGACTCAGAGATAAGTCATGTGAAGACAGAGGCAGAGATTGCGGGGTACAGTTCTAGGTCATCCCTGAAGCTAAGGTAAATTTCACCTGGGGCAGCTATCACTTTTCTGTGAAGCTCCTAGATAGATGAGGACTTTTCTGGGTTTGACATAAATGCAAGAAACATTACGGATTGCCAGCAGCCATCAGATGCTAGGAGAGAAACTTCTGGAATTTATTCTTTCTCTGAGTCTCCAGATGGAAGCAATCCTTGAATCCAGCAGACCTTCACAGCTGGGAGTCCTGGTGTGGCACTGTGGGTTAATGTGCCGGACTACAAAGTCAGTTTGAACTGTAAGGTCGGTGGTTTACGCTTACCAGCCACTCCTTAGAAAACCCTATACAGGGTCACTCTGGGTTGGAACTGACTTGACGGCACTTAATAACAACCACAACTGGAGTCCTGGTGTGTTGCGGTAGGATCAGCACTGGACCGTAGGCCACTTTGAACCAGAAAGTCAGTGGTTCAAACTTACTATCTTCTTCTCAGAAACCCTATAGAGAGTTGCTATGAGCAGGAACAAGCTGGATGGCATTTTATAACAACAGCAACCACAATTATGAGAGAATAAATGTCTACTGTTGTCAAGCCACCTAGCTTACGGTAGATTGTTGTTGTTGTTATGTGCCGTGGAGTCGGTTCCGACCCATAGTGACCCTGCACAGGGTTTCTGAGGCTGTTAATCTTTACGGGAGCAGAACGCCTCATCTTTCTCCCGCGGAGCAGCTAGTAGTTTTGAACTGCTGACCTTGTGGTTTGCAGCTCGATTCGTAACCACTATGCTACCAGAGCTCCTTTATATACAGCCAGAATTCTCTTTGGCAGTGAGAACGGCAAGACTTTGTCTCACATATTTAGGACAGAGATGGTTAGCAAAGCGGAGGGTTCTGCAAACAAGAGTGAAAATCCTCAATGAAACGGATGGACACAGAAGCTGCAACAATGAACTCAAACAGCGACAATTGTGAGGATGGTGTAGGACTGGGTATATTTTGACTGCCGTACACAGGGTTGCTATGAGTTGGAACTGACTCGACAGCACCTAAATCCAACAATGGAGTCTATGGTAATTCGTTATGATAACTCAAGGAGACTAAGGCAGATTCTAACAGGGTTCCTTGGCTAGTGTGTATATATGTGTATGTGTGTGTGTGTATTAGGTTTTGTTGGGAAGAGAAGCAGAGAGACTAGTAAGCTTCGGAATCCCGATACAGCAATTGACTTGATAGCGGTGAGTATCTTATTTTTGGTTTTGAGGTGAATTTTTTTCCCCTTTGTTCTCTACCTGCATTCCCCATCAGTACACATGGACTGAAACAGGCGTTTGGTTTGCCTTTTTCTCCACTAGATTGTAAATCTAGGGCAAGGGCTGCATCCAGTCCTGTGTTTTGTTAGTCTGTTTTGTTTCCTGGAGCTATCATGGGTCTGATTCAGAGCAGGGACTCTGCAAATGCTTGTTCAGAGTGCTGACTTTGCACATCTAAGGCGCAGGGGAGAGTGGGGTGTCTGTGTCGTACTGGCCGCTCCCTCAGTTGCTGCCCCCAATGCCTTGTGCGACTGGCTCTTCCCTGTGCTCTGGTCTCTGTTTAAATGTCATCTTTCTGGAGAGTGCTTCCTGTCTCTCTTCCCCATCCCAGAGTGGATCAGTGATGGCAGGTATTGGTATTAATTCACAGTGCCATCACCTGCACTGCCTTGGACACTTGTGATTGGCCAATTCGAAGCTATGCTGGTGATACCGCAGAAGGCCAGACTAGGGTGAGGCCACATGTGCACAGCGGCAGCAGTAATGATCTTTATTTAACACGTGCACCTTTTCTCATTGCAGATCATTTTGCATCATTTTTGAGATTTTAAAATATTGCATTCAAATATGTGTTATATTAAGTGGTTTGGTACTCCCTTAAATTTTGTACCCAGCATGAGTGCCTCGCTTGTCTCACTCTCGTCCTGGCCCCTGCCACTCAGAGGTTGGGCCTGGGAATCTGATTGTGAAATCAGCCTTCCCACCCCCAAATCCATAAGTCAGGGATGGAAGGCAAGCTCGTTCCATACCCAAACCACAAAATCAACTCGCAGTCTATCTGCTGCATGCCTAGAACAATCATTTCCACTGCATCCCTGGCTGTATAGGGTGAGGTGACTGTCTTGCGGTCATAAGGGACCCCCACCCTCACCCCAGCACTGCCTCTCTTCCATCTGATTTATTGCTGGGCTTTCTGCATTCACTTCATGTGAAAAACAGGTTCCATTGGTACAGAGGATGGGAATGTGGAACCGCCACCATCTTAAAAGTGTTAATGGTCCTAGAATCAGTTTGTGAGGTGCCCTGAGGTCTCTCTGTTTCTTCTTTTTAAAATGATCATACCTTTTATTAGGAGTCCTGGTGTGGCATGGTGGGCTAACATGTCACACTGCAAAATCCTTTGAACTGCAAGGTTGGTGGTTCAAGCTCACCAGCTGCTCCTTGGAAAGCCTATACAGGGTCCTTATGGGTTGGAATGGACTTGATGGTGCTTAACAACACCACCACCTTTTAATATTGTGTTTTCTCACTTTGAACAGAAGCATTTTTACATTCCTGAAATTGTCATGCACCTTGTGATTGACATGGCCAATTAGAATTGGGGTGGTGGTGGATGCCATTCAAGGTCATTCCTGAAAGTCATGAGGTGACCCTCACCTGGGGTAGTCTCAACTTTCTGGGGAAGCCCTTGGACACATGGGAACTTTTCTGGCTTGTCACTGAAAGGGTTTTACATAACCTGGTTACCACCCTTTTAACCATACTGATTTTGGAGGAAGGAAACTTTGGGGCTGATCAATCAGGGACAAGAGTCCCATTCAGATGTGAGGGCTGGAGCCTGGAGTTCATTTGCCCAGGTCTCTGTCTTGGTGCCAGGACAGGACAGAATCTTTACCGGAACCTGCTGGCCCTCAGGGACCTCATTTTTCCTGCACATCCCCCAGCCCTGCTCCCAGCGATGCGGGAGGTCCCTCCTTCACTCCAAATGGAATTGTCTTCCCACTCCCCTGAATTTTAAAGGCTCCACTTTATAGTCCTTTCACTACCATTTCTGTTTAGCTACTTCAGTTGCCTCCTACCTCTCTTTGGAGGGGGAAGGCCATTCCATAAATCAAAGGTATGATGGTGACGGGGCCTGTGCCATATCGCTCTGAGACCCATTGGGCCGGGGAAGGGAAAGACAATTGGTGGGAAAACCTACTTTTCAGGCGTGAGTCACTGGAAGCGGGTCTCAGGGGAGCGTCTAATGAGGCCCTGGTGACTGGGGTGGGATTTCCACTCTGCATGACCACCCACCATAGAGGGAGACACAGAGAGGTGGGGAGAGACAAAGGGGGAGAGAGAGATGGAGAAAGAGGGGCAGGG